CAATAGCTCTGTAACCACACAAAATTGAAGGCTATAAAGTTATGGTCTGTTTGAGAGGTAACGATTTTATGGATAGTATTTTATGTTTAATTTCGTACATTTTCGAGTGGTGATGCATAAAATAGGGATGATGACATGCTGAGACAAAATGTTTCATGTGTGTCGCACTAGTGGAAATTCAGTTTTTTTTTTATATATTTCCTTTTAGAATTAAGAACTTAAAACTTGTATACTATTAAAATATGGATTATTATGTAAGATTTTATGCTATTCTAATTGGTATAACATAAACAAAAAGTAGTTTAATAAAATTTGGAATGTAAGACACTAAAACCTTGTGTCATGCATAGTAAAGGGTATCTGGGGCAATATGGTTAATTAATTTGTTGTTTTAGTATTTGTAATGTTATATACATTTTCACCCTTCCTCTCTATATTTTAGTAATTTTTCTTGTTAAAAATGTCCCAATGAAAATCGGTTAATCTCTGTGTACATCTGTGTTCTTATTGTGTTTGTTTCACCATTTAACTTTCACAGTACTATCTTTTAAATCAATATTTTTTGTTAAAATGTTCAAGAGTATTCATCTGATATTTGGATTCTACGTATGCCAGTTTTTTTATAGTTACATATATCCATTTGTTAATTCAAAATACAAGAGCAACTTTTACAGTAGGGAATTTCTGATTTTAATGATTACAATGTTTCGTCCCATAGTATCTGGTCTTCATCAAGTAACTAACATTCATTAAAAAAATTTGCATTACATAGAACATTACAGACTCATGATGGAGAGGACAAGGTTTGTCAATAGCATTAATTAGCTGTTTAGTAAAATGAGGTACATATTTATCTGTTCATTAGTAAACAGAAAGTAACTATGTATAATAAACTTATCAGTTTATTATCTTACATATTATTATTAATTATGCAAGTTGTTTTAGTACCCTGCTTAAATTTAGTACATAAAACTAATTGCATAAAATGATAGAAAAATTTGTTTTTCAGATCTATCAAATGTTATGTTTTTCAGATATATCAAATGTTATCTTTTTTATAGGGAACTTCAATACTTATGCATGTTGCTTGGGAGCGAATAATCTTGGATGAGGGTCACAATATTAAGAACCGAAACTCGGTTGTAGCTCGTGCTGTCTGTCGTTTCCATGCCAAGTATAGATGGGTCATGACTGGAACACCTATTCACAATAGCTTGACTGATATGTATTCTTTGCTAAGGTAAGATCTGGGGCAGATAAGTCACTTTCTTAGTTACATCGGTATACCTTTATTTTTTATTAACACTTTCCAAACCAGAAGTGTGTGAGTGACATCCCCTGATTTTTTCCTTGATAGAGTGGAAATACTTTAAGAAAATTGCATGAAACTTAGTACAGAATTTTTTAATTAGTATCTAGTTTCTGCTTAAGAAAAGTTCATGCAATTTTAAATATTTCTATTATTTGTCTAACATACACTTTTAAAATTTTGTTTTGAGACTATGTTTTGAAAAAAGAAACAGTGAAAATACTTCTTTTTATTTTCAAATTTCAATTTTTTTTTATTGTTGTGATCAAAAGTTTCTATTATATATCCAATCAGTTTCAACTTGATTGTTATTAATTAACATATTTATTTTTGACACTTTATTTTAAAAATAGCAATTGTCACAACTTCTCTCTATAAATCGTAAAAAATTATAGCAATTTATTGGTCACCTAGGTCCTCACTTTTCGAAATGTCACCATTGCTTTTATTAGGCATTTTATCATGAATTTTGCCATCAATATTATTGGTAAAGAGCAATTTATAACTAATAAATATAGTTTATTTCCATGTTCTTGTATTTTCATGTTTTGACAATACAATAAACTTAAGAATATATTCAGTAAAAAAGGACTTGTGTCATCTAAATAGTTACTCATTTATCATACTCACTAAACCTAACTAAATGTACCCAAGGTCTTGTGATAAGTGAATACTCCTGTAGTTGTTTTTAGTTTTTTGTCAAACAGGTGTGATTTAACACAAAAATAGTTTCAGAAATGAAAAGAATACCAAAAACTATAAAACACTTCCCATATCTGTGGTTTGTTCTTAAGTAGTGTAAACTTCATGTTAGAATCGTTTGTTCACCCCTACAGAAGTCTTGGACAGTTGTTGCATCAACAAGCCAATAATTACTGCTACAACCATTTTATTTACTCTGTATTGGCATAGATAGATTAGAATCTCTTATATCAGATCTGTTTTTGTCATTGGCTGGCTATTTTTAAAGCTGAACATCATTACTATTTGTTCAGATCACATGCTGTGACATAAAAAGTTGGCAGTGAAGGGCTATATTAACAAAAGCACTGACAGAGAAAAAAAGTAACCTGAAAAATAAGACATGCATTATTAAATTTTCAAGGGATGATAATTTTTGAGTATTTATAAGGCTATACTTTGGGATGTGAGGAAATATTATAAAAAACAAATTGGTCAACAGAACTGCTTAGAGCTGTGCAGAAATGAAAATTGAAACAATTTTTCATTGAGAAACACTGAATAAATGTTACATAATGCTATTTAAAAATGTCAGTCTGAAAATATTTTGGAATAAAAATTTATTAAATACAATTAAAATTATTATAAATTTTAAAATTTGATATACAGGTGAGCACTTAACACCTTTAACAGTTTTGCTACAGTCATATTTTTCTGCACAGGTCACAAGGTTTTTCTAAATTGTATTACACTATTTTCTGATCATGATATACAAATAAATTTGGCATACAAATATAGCTAATAATCCAAATTTTAATCTTATGTAAGTTCTTAATTTTATAAGGCAATATTTAAAAAAATAATCCAGAATGTTCCCTAGTATGAGAATTGTGATATTTTCTCTCTAGGCATTCCTCTTCTCTAATTTATTTACCCACCCCTCCAAGAAGTATGAAGTTTAATGTAAATTACTCATTATAATATTGTCATTGCTCAAGTAAAGCATAATTTTTATGGCCTTCAATTTTATTTAGTTACAAAGCCATAAAATAGCATATCACACCCTCTTGCAATGCCCACATGTCACATCCTCTGTTTCAGAAATTGCCAATAGAAAGTCAAGGTTTCAATCTGTCAAATGATGCATTATACTACATTGTTTTCTGTACAGAGAATTATCTATTTTGCTTTCAATTCTAACTTTATTCCCACAGGAAACACGTTGATGAACTTAGTTGAATTTTTTATGACTCTTGTTGCATACACATAGTTAGAAAACCAGAAAAATTGTGATAGTCTACTTTTTGCATGTTATTATTCAATGTTTGGTGCATTATTTAATTAACTCTCTCAATATGGGCTCGGGCCAATTTGACCGACCATGTAACCTCTGTGTACTCGATTAAAGTCTTTATAGATTTAATACTTCTAACTTTCAATATAGTGTGTATATCTTCACAAAATTTTTTAGTTCATATTATAAGTCTTTTACAAAAAAAAATCATATTTTTTAGTGAATTATTTTTAATAAAATAAAGATTTGTCCATTAATATATTGACTATTTATTTTAAATAGTCTGTGTGCAAAGTAATTTTCATGTTAAAATTAAAAATATTTTCCTCATC